GCTGGCTGAGGAATTCTGGGAGTTGAAGTCCACAAGTCTTAAAGTTGCCAAGGTTGGACACCCCTGCTCTAGTTGCATACCTCACTCTATTTTGTATGTAATCAATATTCAATGTTAATTATGAAATGAAGAAAATTGTTCATGAAAGATGACGCTGAGCTTCACATCATGAACAGGATTCATAAAACCTTCATATGTTACATGTACCCAGGTTTGCTTCTCAGAATAAATGTGTAACTAGTAAAGTTCTTTTCAGTCTAACGTTGGAGTTGGGATTTAAGCATGTACAGATATTTTTGTCTCCTGGTTTGCTAAATCTACACAGCTGACTTTTTTTTCTAGTTATGGATGCAGAATAGTTATGTATTGTTATGTATTGTTATCAGAAAAACTATATAAACATGTCTATTAAGTCACCAGGAGTTGTTCAGCTTATGGGAGTTTTTTTTAACCTTTCATGTAAATTAGGAATTCTCATTTTAAAATTGCAGTAATAATTATTTTCCTTTTAACTCAGGCCAACTGGTTAAAATCAGAAAACATGCGTCCCCATAGCTATCTAACACAACCCTTCTGTAAAAGCAAGCTTAGGTTTTCTGCCTAAGAAGAGTTGAGTCTTAATGAAGAAGAGATGTTATCCTTAATAAGCCAACTTTAAAACTTATTATAATGTCACATTTGTTTATAGCCAACATTTTCTTAATGAGCTATTTCATTGCCTATATTTTGTCTGCATGTACCTGTCTTTAGAGACTCCCCAGATTCTTCGCCTGAGGAAGGCTCTCAGAAATCTTTCCTCATTCTTGCCTTTCCACGCTTTCCAATTCTTTCTCGTCCTTCTCTGCCCAAAGGGTGAGCCAAAACACACAATCTTTCTTTCTTTCTTCCTTCCTCCTGCACACTTTGCATGTCTAGTATTTATAGTGCTCCCATGTTTACTTATGCACCCACAGTGATGTGATTTAAAGAAGCCTTTGGACTTTGATTTCCAATAAATATACCATCTCTCTATCTGTCTGTGCCCTACACATATAAAGAATGTAGGTGTGGGTATGTAAGATTTGTCATTTTGTTTCAGAATAAATATGTTAGGTTGGTGTTTACAAGAATAGGTACACATTAGAATATTGTTGATGAGCCAATGATTTCTGTCACAAGGCCAATTAATACAGAACACAAGATATGCAAAAAGAAATTATTTGGGGGAGCCCTTAAAAACATATTGCTCCTTTTTGTATGTAGGAACAGAGCTGAGTCAGAGAAAGTTCAAAAGCAACAATTTCAGTTAGAATGCATCCATTCACATATCTTAAGCTATAATCCATTTTAGCCATGGTATGAAGAATGATCTATAAACAAGACTAGTAGGTTTTAGGTGAACAACAAATGGCTCCTATTTTCAATTCCTGGCATGTTCTTATCTTTTTAATGGCACTTGTCATGCATCTCTTTGGACTGGTTAGATATTTGGGAATGGCACAAGAAGAAACCATAAGCCACAGAAATGAGCCTTGCTAAAGTATAGTTCCTATAAGTTAGACAATAAATAAACTATATCTTAACCATGACTTACTGCTTTAAAACTATATAATGTTCACAGATCCCATCTACATATTTTACTACTAGTACATATTGTACTATCACAATGTTAGTAACTTGCATATCTCTGGAGGAAGGGAGAGAAACCAACCAATAATCGATCACTGTGTGAGACCAGGTTGAAGCTGCTGTGCCTAAAGATATGGAGGCATGTAATCAGGGTGCACAAAGCCACAAAGCCAGGAATCTGTCTGAAAGATTCCTTAAAGGATGTAAGTAAGAAGGAACTAAGTTGTTAAGGAAACAAAGAAAACATGTCACCTGGACCAGACAAAAGTAGCTGGGCCTGAGCACATTGAAAACCCTTCCCCAAATCCCACCAACACCTACCAAACGTAACGAGGCAAGAGTAGCTGCCAGTTTTGTCAAGGCCTTTGGGGGGATAAAAGGAGTCCTGAAGCCCTCCCATTCTTTGAGTTGTGTTTGGATCCAGATTTGGTTGTTTCAAACTCCCTGCCTAGTGCCTTCCAACCTAGTTGAGAAGGACGTGAGTAAATGTGGATGGATATAAGTGTGGATGATTGTGTGTGTAGAGCAAATATGAGGGTGGCTATTTTCCCAGGTTCTGAGTAAAGGTGAGTGACTGTAAAGTGAACTTGGGAGTGCATATAACAACGGTCTCACCTGCCTTAATAAAAAAAAAATGTTGTTTCACAATTGAACATTGTTCTAGTTCAGGGGTGGGCTTCAAAACGTTTAGCAACAGGTTTCTGTCCTGGTGCTGGGTGGGCATGGCCTTGGCGGGCATGGACTAGATGGTCTCCTGCACCATGGCAGGGGGGGCATTTTTGCCCTCCCCAGGCTCCGGAGGCTTTTCTTGAGCCTCCGGGAGGGCGAAAACGGCCTCCCTGGGCTCCAAAGGCTCTCTGGAAGCTGGAAACGGGCCTGTTTCTGGCCTTCCCGAACTTCTGGGAGGCCCATTTTTCACCCTCCCTGAGCCTCACCGTGCACCCTGCACTTACCTGCATCCAAACAGGCCGCATGGGGACTTGTGGAAGCGGCAGGGTGGGCGGGACCAGTTGGGAGTGGGATTTGAGGTTCTTCGAACTGTGCAGAGTCTTAGCTAGAGGGTCTCGCGAACCCCAAGCAGCCCACCCCTGAGCTAGTTTCCTTCCAGGTGATGAGTTTGAGCACTGCTAATAAAAAAGCATCTTCTCCTCCTTGGATTTTTTTTTATGGAGAAAAACTCTTTCAAATTAATGGCGTAAAACTCTTAAAAGATGATGCCTGCTATTTTTGTTCGGAGTTGCTTAAATTACAGGGTTTAGAGGAATACTGTTTTATTTTTCAAATGTTATAACAGGCCATGTGGAGCATTGTATGAAATTCTTATACATCTTACTACTATATTTTTCTAATAGATTGATCCCTGTGTAGTCTATGTTGATTTGATTTCTCTGGGCTATGATATATCAGTCAATGCAGGCATGGCTTTCTTCAAAAGTGGGTATAATATCTAGCCATGCATGCTGTTTTCTGTCCATGTTTGCCAGTATGTCCTGTTCGCTGTTTGATAAAGCTACATATAGCATTGTGATTTGACAAAATTAAACCTCCCTTCCCCTTCATTTAGTCTATCAATGAACAAAGAAAAGAGGAAGATTATTTTGAAGTTCACTTAGAAATTCATCAGTTATGATTAATCACATAACTTGTAGTTAGGTTGTAGCTGAATTAGCTACAGTTCGGGTAGATGAACTCTGCTGATGGCTAAGCAATATATATATATTTTATACCACCCATTTATCCAATTAGGTGACTCTGGCTATAAACAATACAATACTGTTTCGTATATCATTTTTCATAATCTGTTGTATTTCTGAAAATTTAAATGTTCTTGCCCCGGTAGTCTAATCCGAATGAATGAAATATTGCTGTGTTATCTGATGAGTATTCATTGTCCTTTTGACTGCTACTGGAAGGGATGCATATACTAACATACATGATTTTGATCTGATGCAATATGCTTCCAGCTGTGGATGATTAAACCGACATTCAGTATGTAATGGGAGAAAAATCATTTTATGAATTTGAATTGTTGCAAACTACTCCCCTAAAGACACTTATTCCCACTAAGCATACTGAAATCTATGAATATGCATGAATAGGATGTCACTACAAAATATGTGTTATGTTATTATGCTTTGTAGACAAGCTCAGACAGTGACAGTGAATCCAGTTAGAAGGCGATCAACCTCCAGGTTGTCTCTGGTAAGCACTCCATACGTGAGCTCTTTCTTATTTCTTGAATTTAACCTATTGATAACCATACTTGTTATCAGTTACTCCAATGAAGTACATTGAGAGAGTATAATAAAATCTAGCAATAAATTAGATGAATGCTAAATGTTGTAACAGTATCCTCTTTTATAAAAACTAAGCACATTACACGATATTTTAGTATTGCACACTTTAGCTTAAGTATATGCATATTCCTCTGCCTGTGCACTGAAATGTAATATACCCAAACACTTTTCAATTATTCTCACTACTTAAAAAGATTTTGCTCAAAACTGCATACAGTACTAAGTTAAAGAAAAAGCAACAAGCTGAACACTAAGTTGTTTCAAGATTTCATAATCTGGATAATTTAGATTTAACCAGAAGACTAAACATTTTGAGAGACTTAAGTAGGTAATCAATTCTGTTGACAATATAATATTGCTGCAATGGGATAGGAAAAAATATATAAAAATTACCATATTTCACAATCTCTTTCATATATTTTCAAGTGTCACTTACATTAGTGAAGCTAAGAATTTAGCAAGTATCTAAATATATAAATTTAAATCTATAAATGCTGAAGAAAATCTAAAGAATACATTATCTTCTTTTTGAAAAATCCTCTTCAATATAACTTAATATATTTTACAACAATGCATGTGTTCCTATAAGCTGCTTTTTCTGGGAAGCAAATCACATTGACTTCCTAAAATCACACATAACTCTGATTCATTATCTAGCCAATCTTGAATTCGGCTTTCTTAACAATGCAAACTTAAGGACACTGCTGACGTACTGATTTTGTTGACTACTCCAGGTTTTTCATAGTAGAACAAATCCATAATAATAATCTGAATTAATTAATACATATTTATTATTTATTTATAAAAAGTATTGGCCGCCTATCTTGTATCCAATGGCTCTGGATGAAATCAACTGGAATGAAAGGTGCTGCAGTATATTTTGTATAAAATTCATATTTCTATATTTGGTTGTATAGATATCCTGATTCAATTTTCTTTTACAGGCTAGCTCCTTCATCTCTGTAAAACTTTCTTGTACTTTTTAGTTATGATTATCAGAATTGATATTCTTGTGCTCAGGCTTAAAGTGCATGCAGATGTTAGAACTGGAGTAAAGTTTCTTTCTAATGGTTATCTATGTTTACTTACTTCAAGCAGCCCAAACCACAGCCTTATATGATGCCTCCACCACCTCAGTTACACTACAATGGACACTACCCAGAACCATATGCATCCTCGCAAGGTAAATTTTCAGCATTTTTAGGAAACTGGATTACTTCACAAAAGAACAATTGGAAAATGTGAAATTGGAGGATATTATTGAGGAACCATTAATAGTTAATGGTAGATAGTTCTTGGTATATAGTTAGTCCTCTTGGTATATAGGTAGTCCTCAACTTACGACCACAATTGAGCCCAGAATTTATGTTGCTAAGTGAAACATTTTTAAGGGAGTTTTGCCCCATTTTATGACTTTTCTTGCCACATTTGTTAAGAGAATCATTGCAGTTGTTAAATTAATAACATTGTTGTTAAGTGAATCTGATTTCCCCATTGACTTTGCTTATCAGAAATGCTGATCACATGACCCCTGGACACTGCAAATGTCCTAAACATGAATCAGTTGCCAAGCAGCCAAATTTTGATCACGTGACCAAGGGGATGCTACAATTGTACAATTGTAAGTGTGAAAAACCGTCATAAGTCACTTTTTTCAGTGCCATTTGAACGGTCACTAAGTGAACTGTTGGAAGTTGAGGACTACCTGTAATCAGTGGTTGGATTCATATAAAGACATAAAGCAGTATATAAATTCAGCAACTGTGGTTTATTCAATAAACTGTGGTTAAAAGAAACATGGCTTAGAGCATGCAAACTGCTTAGGACCTGAATAAGGAATTAATTATATGGCTCTAATGTAAGAAGATAAGATGTTGCCTTGTCCCAGATCAAATTGTTTGTTTCATTAGATTGGTTGTTGACACTGGCAGCACCTTTCAAGTTCTCTAATTAAAAAAAATACATCATGTGATAGCTTGTTGTAAATATTATAGGAAGAGAGCCATGTTTTCTATCATGGCAAAAAAATCTGGGGGAGTCTGCCAGTATCTTTTGTGACAGCAGCCCATGAAAGCCACATTTTATTTTTTAATAAAATGTGTTAGTTAGAAATGTTGCTACCAGACTCCTCCTGATCATGTGCTATCTGCATCCTTAAACTGAATGCTCTGGAGTTTGAACCTGAGTTCTTTTTACAAAATATATATTCTACCACTGAGCATCTGCGTTGTTTACAGCTGGAAAATACAAGAGCATTTTTATAAGAGAAAAATAGAACCAGCGAACTTTATAATTAGTAGTCATATTAATCATATTTTAGAGAGACAGTAAGAACTAATTACTAAAAACTTGTTCAGCTGGTATACAGGGAGGAGAATTTTTCATTAGAATAACAGCATTCACTCATAGATATCCTTCTGGAAGCTATGTGCAGGGTCAAGGGCCAAGGCTGTATGTAGTTATGAGACAGAGAGACGGAGGGAGGGAGAGAAAGAGAAAGAGAAAGAGAAAGAGAGAGAGAGAGAGAGCCATTTTTTTTCCTCAGGAAGGAAGGGCTGGAGGGAGGGAGCAGACAATATTTTAGATGAATCTGCAATAGTGGTTTTATTTCAATATATGTATGTTTCATTAAATAGAAGCTGCTTTTACCAGTGGTCTGGAATTGAAGGAATGATATCATGATAGCAACTGTTGTTGTCGTTTTTTGTCTCTTTCTACCATTGTGCGGGTATAAATAGATGCCAACATTTATATTCCAGATAATCTCTATGGGACGAACCAGAATGGCTATTACTGCCATTCTCAGACTAGCTTAGACAGAGCACCACACGACTACAATGGCAGAATCCGCAATGGCAGTGTCTACAGTGCTCACAGCACAAATTCCTTGAATAACCTGCAGCACTACATGCAGCCATCGCCCATGTCCTCCAACCCGAGCATTACTGGCAGTGATGTCCTCCATTCAGATTATGTCCCATCGCATCGACATAGTGCCGTAATACCACCTTCTTATCGGCCTACCCCAGATTATGAGACTGTGATGAAGCAACTAAACCGAGGAATGATGAATTCAGACAAGCAGAGTCATTCCATGAGAAACCTTAATATAGGCAATTCATACGCTTATAGTAGGCCTGATGCCTTGGTGTACAGTCAGCCTGAAATCCGAGAACATGCTAACTTTGCTTCTCCCCATTCTGGTCATTACCCATTTAATCTGAATTACAGCTTCCACAGCCAGTCCTCCTATCCGTATCCCGCTGAAAGGCGCTTGGTAGTTGGAGCCGTGAGTGTTCCTGAGCTAACAAATGTTCAGTTGCAAGCCCAAGAATATCCAGCACCAAACATCATGAAGACTCAAGTATACCGCCCTCCGCCTCCTTATCCTTATCCACGACCTGCTAACAGCACACCAGATCTATCCAGGCACTTCTACAGTAGCAATAGCAATCCTGATCTCATCACCCGACGGGTCCATCACTCTGTCCAGACGTTCCAGGAGGACAGCCTACCAGTTGCCCATTCCCTTCAGGAAGTGAGCGAGCCTTTGACATCAGCCCGGCATGCTCAGTTGCAGAAGAGAAACAGCATTGAAATTGCTGGCCTGGCACACAGTTTTGAGGCCATGAGGATTAAAGAGAGAACCATGTCAGCCTCAGCTGCAGATGTGGCTCAGCCAAAGGCGATCCCTTCTGGGTCACAGACTTCTGTATTCCTAGAAAGGGCAAAGCAAGAAGAAATTGAGGAGCAAGAAGACCATGTGAATTATGGGCATAAGAAATCTCTTTCAGATGCAACTATGCTCATTCATAGCAGCGAGGAAGAGGAAGAATGTGAAGACGAAAACAAGGCTAATCCAGCGCTGCCATTTCTCAATGAAAAATCCCAGCTTCCTTCCCTAATGGCATGTTATCCAACTGAATCTTTATTGAACTACCCTTATAGTTCCATTGCTTCATCTCCTGGTCCTTTACATATACATGAACCTAAATTGCACATTACTGAGACTGACAGGAGGGTAAAAGATGTGAGCCCCTCACACATCATGGGTGACTCTCAGGTGCTAAGGAGAGAAGATGGACTGTTAACTCCATCTGTGTCAGAGTCTGACTTAACCATTTCTGCCCGGTATAGAGTGCGGAAGGATTCCATAAAGAAGAGACCAGTGTCTGAATTACTGTCAGGGAAGAAGAATATTGTAGAAGGGCTGCCTCCTTTAGGGGTGAGTTTTCTCAAGACTGTCTTCTTTTCCTCTTTTTATGTCATATTTGAAAAACTCCCCATGTGAATCAAACAGGAAACCAGTGGCATCATAAGTATATGTCTCTGCTAGGTTTGTCTATTGATGACATGGCAATGAACATGGGACTGACGGTATGAAAAGAATATGGATTATTTTCAAGCTATGGTCCCTTTCATGGCCTGGAGAAAACTAGTATACATATTAAATTTACGGAGATCTCGTGTTAATACTCACATAGAAGCAGATTCACATGAATTTTTTAAATGGTCCTACATCCTAAATATAGCTATTATGATTCCCTCATTGCTTCATGAGAAGATTGTTATGTAAGTTTATAGCATGTTATGGCATGTCATATCATATCCTACTGAAATGTATCAAACATTCCATAGATAGATAGATAGATAGATAGATAGATAGATAGATAGATAGATAGATACACCTCTGTATACATATATGCATACACGAGGCAGGGTGGCTCAGCAGTAAAAAATGGTGAGCTTGTCAGCTGGAAAGACCCAAGTGCCCCACAATGAACTCCCCATTCCTGCTCCAGCTCTTATCCACTTACCAGGTCAAAAACATGCAAATGTGAGTAGATAAATAGCTACCACTTTGGTGGGAAGGTATAACAATGTTCCGTGTGCCTTGGCCACATGACCACAGATAATGTCTTCAGGCAATGCTGGCTCCCTTAGCCAAGAAGTGGGGATGAGCACCACCCCCTAGAGTCAAATATGACTGGAAAAAGGAAATCTTTACTTTTATTTAGCGTATGTATATCATGTATAGCTATGTTATGATTCATTATTTCATGAAGAGAAATTATACGTCTACACACACGCAGAGCCCTAGAATACCAGGCTTGAATGGGGAAGTGTTCATATTCTTGCATAACTTCAAAGTTTGGACCACTGCACTTTAAGCCTCACCTAACATATAGGGTTATTTCCTTATTTATATAGAAAAGGGCTTATATCTGCTTCTCCTTGAGTTCCATGGGAAAAAAGCAAGATTTTAACCATTCTTACTGAATAAATTGATCTCCCTGAAGTTGTAGCTACCCTATCCTAATTCTCAATTGTTATTCTCACTGTTCATGAAACTCCACTTTCTTGGGCAAGTCTGTTTATTAATTTGTGAAATTTCAGAAACTTAAGAATTAAATAAAGAGGCAACATGAAAAGAAGGTTGCCTGGCTGTCATTATCTGTAGAACTGTATTGGCCAGAGGATCTGATGGTGTGCCCTTCCTTAGTGTGTGTGTGGGAAAAGGTGAAGTACTTTTCTGGTTGTCTCCCAAATTTGTTGCTCCTCCAGCGATCCAGTTTGTCTCTGGTTTCTATCACAATATATTTTGAAAGATTGTCTTCTTCCAACAGGTCATGAAAAAGAACAGAGCTGAAGCTAAAAAAATAGGACCTTTGAAGTTAGCAGCTCTGAATGGACTAACATTGTCTCGTCTTCCTCTGCCAAGTGAGGGGAAGGAAGAATCTCCCAGAGCAACAAATGATGAACGGGTTGGTCTGAAGTTTGCTTGGAATTGTGGCTGTGTATTGAAAATTCATCTCCAATCAGAGGGGGTATTCAGCAGGTTCTGACCAGTTCTGGAGAACCGGTAGCGGAAATTTTGAGTAGTTTGGAGAACTGGCAAATACCACCTCTGACTGGGGATCTTATAGTATTCTTCCCCTGCCACACCCACAGAACCGGTAGTAAAAAAATTTGAATCCCACCACTGTCTCCAATGTTTAGTTATTCAAACTTGTCTATCCAAATTCATTTTGGACACAAGAATAGTATTAGGATTGATCATCAGCTTGTCAATCATCAGTGTCTTTTAACTGCTTAGACCAAATATATATTTATTTAAGTTTAATTAGTTATCTATGTACTACTAAAACTCTCTTGCAAAACAGTGCATCACAGGGCAACAATTTTTGAACTAACATGCCTCAAATGGGCTAACATATAAAATGTATCCAAAATCCAGTAGCCATGGTTCTCAAAGGAATAAAATTTAGAAAAGTTGTGGTTGGTTTACTGTTGCTGCTGCTGTACTGCCATTGCAGTCATGTGAGCTTTCATTTTCAACGTTCTGTGATAATTTCAGCCAGTGTCACGCCCTCCCCCACCCAGCAGCAAAGGGGAAATTTGCGATAGTCTGTGCCAGATTCCCACTGGGAAACTCAGTGGGGAAGCTGTCAGGAAGTGGGACATTGCTCCTACGCTCACTGCTTTCCCCCCCGCCCTTTGTCATTCTATTTCTCTGTTTACATAAAGAAATATCTCTGAAAAGATGACTGAGGCACAGGTTTTATAGTTTTTTTTCATTAGAAATGGTTTAAAAATATTTAGTTAAAATGATATTTGTTTCCTAGAACAAGGGTCCCCAACTCCCGGGCTGCAGCTTACTACTGGGCCTTTCGCCTTTCGGAAGTGATCTGTGGAAGTGGTGGGCAACCGTGTGCATGTGCATCCCATTTGTGTGATCAGCAGGTGACCGCATGTGCGCGCACTCCCATTTGTTTGAGCAGTGGGTGTTTATGGCTGCTTATGCAAATGGAGTTGCACGCACACACACTTGCCCGCTGCACACACAGGACCATCTTCTTCCTCCCTCCCCCTCCAGTTTGCAAAGCAGAAAGTTGGGCAACTCTGTCGTAGACAGCCTTCATACAGCAAACATTTGTTAAAAGAAATGGTAGATGGCAACCGTTATATTATTATTATACTCTTTTGATATTGGTTCCTTGTTCTGTGTGCCTAAGAGTAGAGTCAGTGGCCCTAAACAAACTTTCCAAATTATCCTTGGCTTCATCTCATTTCAGGTATTGGCTGTCTGGAATTTCACTGCTAGGTTTTATTTGTACATGCATCTAAATTATTTAATTTCTATTGGCATGTTTGCCAGGAATTGTAACAACGAGAAGGAACATATACAACTATTTTAAATATGTTACAAATCATTGAGAAATTTGGCTTAAGGGAAAAGACAAGAATGTTTTAGACAAACTCAGATAATGTAAAATGGGAAGTTATATATTAAATGTTTTTTAAATAACCTATATTTTTTTCACTACCATATATTTATGGAAGGAAAAATCTCTAGTATGATTCCATCTGTGTTTCTGTATTTTTAGTTTAAGGGTTTGGAACAAAGGTTAGACCAAGGGATGGTGTTTACGGAATATGAACGGATTCAGAAGAAAAGGCTTGTAGAAGGTGACTGTTCAATAGCCTGTCTCCCAGAAAATGCAGAAAGGAACCGATTCCAGGATGTGCTTCCTTATGATGACACCAGAGTTGAGCTAGTCCCTACTAAGGAAAATAATACGGGCTATATCAACGCATCACACATTAAGGTAGGGTTAGAAATAAGATGTGTATTCATAAACAATTCTTCCACTTAAATTTCAAAAACTTCTTAAAATATCATTCTCCCCAAAGTCTGAGATCATACTCAAAAAATATATGTTAATATAATTGCTTGATAATGATAAAAAAAAATTACAGTCCAAGAAAGCAAGAAAGCACAGATTAGGGACTTGTGGTTGGCGCTATATAAGGTTAAGAATGTAACCATAGCATGCTTTTTTAGCCTTATCTGTAGTCTGAATCAACTGAAAAAAGGCATTTCCTGTCCAAGTCCCTCACCTCACCCCCAAAGTAATGGCCCTAGAAAGCACTCTTTTAATAGTTTTGATTGGTATGGAGGGAACCAGAGGTGGTATTCAGCAGGTTCTGATCAGTTCTGGAGAACTGGTAGTGGAAATTTTGAGTAATTCAGAGAATCAGCAAACACCACCTCTGACTGGCCCCACCCCCATCTATTATCTGCCTCCCGAGTCCTAGCTGTTCAGCTGGGTCTTCTTTTGTTGCTCTGCACAGGAGAAGGGAGCTGGAAATCAGGCTAGGGGGGTGGGGAGGGAATGGGATTTTGCAGTAACCTTCCCCCAGGAGTGGGGAATGGAGATTTTTACAGTATCCTTCCCCTGCCACGCCCACCAAGCCACGCCCACCAAGCCAGGTCATGCACACAGAACCGGTAGTAAATTTTTTTCAATCCTACCACTGGAGGGAACCATGTTTAAAGGAAAGAACAAAAATTTATTTTGTTCCATTTTTAGCATTTAAGCTTTTCAAAATTCTATTTCTGGGATTAAATACAGAAATTAAAGAATATGGGTTCATTTTTTCTCCCTTTGCATTGTGGACCAGTATCCTTTCATAATCTTGGCATCCATATCCTGTTTTTTATTCTACAGGTCTGTGTCGGGGGCATGGAGTGGGATTATATTGCAACTCAAGGTCCTTTGCAGAATACATGCCAAGATTTCTGGCAGATGGTATGGGAGCAAGGGGTTGCCATTATAACCATGGTGACAGCAGAAGAGGTAAATATATCTTCCTGAATCATACCTCAGCCCTCAAAAATATAATTTTGAAATGAATGTACGGGTCAGCCTTTGGTTTAAGCTGATTTTTGTCTTGACTGGATTCCAGAAAATGATGTAGAGAACTAGTATGGAAAATCATTCAAAACCAACACATACTTTATTCAGTTTGGTCCCTTTTAAATGTTTAGGGACTGTAACTACTAGAATTGTTTGCTTGCCTTTTTTACCTTAATATATGGGAAGTTGCATTCCAATATATCTATAGGACATCAAGTTGGAATGCAACTGATTTAGGAATCAACAGTAGACACTTGGATGCTTTCTGATTCTTGTATCTCATTGACCCGTGCAACTCTCAGCCCAATTTGGATTACAAGGTATTTGAAAAGATACCTTGAAGATGAAGGGGTGAAGAATTACTAAACTCCTTCCCCCAAAATAATAATTAATAATATATTAAAAATAAGTCTTGTGGAATGTTCTGCAGCTACCTCTTTATTCTTTTGCTGATTAGACATTATATTTGCAGGAAGTTGGCCGAGAGAAAAGTTTCCGATACTGGCCGAGACTTGGTTCAAGGCACAACACAGTGACCTATGGGAGATTCAAGATCACTACTCGCTTCCGGACTGATTCTGGTTGCTATGCCACCACAGGTTTGAAGATCAAACACCTCCTCACAGGACAAGAGAGAACAGTTTGGCATCTTCAGTATACTGACTGGCCAGAGCATGGCTGCCCAGAAGACACAAAAGGGTTTCTGTGTATGTGCTTGCATTTCCTTTCCTTTCCTTTCCTTTCCTTTCCTTTCCTTTCCTTTCCTTTCC